GGACGCCATTTTTGCTCCAGCTTATCTTATTCAGATCAAAATTGCGATACTTTGTTAATCTAGTGACTTTATGTGCCAGGGTGTGAATGCGCCCTTATGAAAATTGGCGGCATAACCTCTCTTAGGCTTCTCTCTATTTTACATACCCGGTGTATTTTGCCAAAAAGTTTTTATTTACATAAATTTAATATAATAATAGCAAGGTTGATATTGATATAATTCGAATAATTATGGACGAAAGTGATAACGCGCAAATAGTTGTTAGTATAATAATACACACATGCAACATTATTTACGTGTATAAGAAAAAGTTTATAAAAATTATAATATTACTTTTGAATATAAATCTAGATAATTATTAATTTCTCAAGTTCATTAATTTAAATTAAACTATTAAATTAAATTATTATTTATATAAAACACGAACTGTGAATTATTTAAATTAATATTATTTAATGATCATTGTATGTTATTTATTTGTAAATTTATTTATTCAGATGATTAAATGTCCCCATAAATCTGAAATTTAAATAATTATGTTGTTTTATACTACTTTTATGAAATTTTAAATTTCTATTGAACAATTAATAATAAGAAAATACAAAAAATCTTAAGAATTGAATGGTATTTACTAAATAATAAACCTTTGCTTACTCTTTGTATTTTTAGGTTATAGCAGATGATGTATGTAGGAAAGCAGGTATTGCGACAACCTGGATCAATAGCAATAGATTTGGAATTCATGCATACAAACATGTAGATAAATTTTCACAAGGTTGAGGAACTTTTATATATATTTTATTTATATTTCTTTTAATATAAAACAAGCATGATTATATACTGTATTATATGTTTGTATATTGTGTATTATTATTCTCTTATATTCTTGTTTCAGATATTAAAAGTCAGTTTGCTCCTTGTGAGGCCAAAGTGCATTTCCTCCGACCAGAGATCATATTATTTTCACCTCTTTTACGTAAATTGGTTAATGAAAGCAATGGTGTTTTTCTATCGGTACAAAATCTTAAGTCCTTTTCTTCTGGTGACATTAGACCAGAACTCCTTAAACACAGTAAACAATATAGATCTATATTGAGAGCCTGTGTTGAAAATTTGCAAGAGATATTACCAAAAGAGCCATTATCAGAAGAAAAAACAATGTTGGAAAATTTCCTTACTATATTTTATCAAGTGGAATGTGTTTGGCATCTGACAGAAATTCTTTATGTTGATGCTGTACCAGGTAAAATTCAGATATAAATATATATGTACATAGAATAATATATATTATACGTATAAATTCTTATTTAGAAAAGAATGTGCTTTAAAATATTGCATTTTTTTCATATTGATTGTCTCATGTGCATAGGTGATGTTGTGTTACCACAACTATTGGAATGGATCAGTTTTCACTTTCCTTCAAGAGAGTTGATTGCTTCAAAAATTTTGTCGAAGAAAACTATTGGTGCTGATTTAGAAAATTCGAATTATTGGGAAGCTGTGATGGGCTGCGCATTTCATGGGAAATTAAATCTAGTCTGCCGTCTCTTAGCATTGCATAGTAAAGCAGATCATTCTGCATTCATTACTGCAGACAATATTATCAGAACAATGCCAGTATACAATGTATATGGCGGATATTCCATAAATGAGTTTATTATACGATGGAAGCACTGGCAAATGGATCTTTGCTCAAATTTAGAAACTAACTACTTTGTTATAGATAATAATCTGGAGATGCTCATGAAGGTCAGTGTAAGGTATATTAATACATATTCTTTTATTTTCCCCAAAAACATAAGATTTTGTTCTACAGTTAATAGCAGGGGATGAATCAGTATTGTGGGAATATTCTATGTATACAGAAGCATGGTATGAATTATTGGCAGCAAAACTATTTTATTCGGCTCCTTGTTGTAAACAATTGGAGCTTTCGCGCTATGCAAACAGTGTCGCCGAGAGATGGCAAGCTAACAGACACTTAGATCGCGTAATTCTTGCTTTAATAGAAAATGATTTGTATCAAGTTATCAAAGAGATACAATATATGAGTGATAATGGTTGGTTTGCGGCTCATTTAATGGATCTGTTGTACAAATGTGGAAAACTAAATATTTTAAGCAAAGAAAAGACTAAGTAAGTATAAATGCAAGATAATTTATTGATGACAAACTAAAATTGGGAACTTGTTACAGTGTGACTGCACAGCTTCACGAATCTCTTATATTAGAGTATGGTACTATGTTGATGAGTCATCACTCATTGTGGCAGTGTGGCGCGAGTTATTTGATACATTGTCCTAAACAAGGTTTGGGTAGATTAGAAATTTTATTGCAATCGCTACCGACAGGCACAGAAGCGAGAATCAATAAGATTATCGATGTCGCCCGGGACAATAATATGCCGCACGTTGGTAAAACTCAGTTTCAATCATTCCCTTGCCCTTAAATTATATTTATAATAACTCAGAAATGTGTTTCAGTTACCAGCATATGCAAGATTCAGGGAAAGAAGAGCATAAGACAAGGAAGATTGGGCAATGCTCTCATGTGGGCACTTAAGGCACATGATGGCAATTTTACTACATACATCGCAGATCAGTTTTTAAAACATTATGCAGAACATGGAGAATTAGAGTGTCGTGATTTATTGGAAAATTTAGGTTCTTGCATGCTGGCCAGCGATAGGCTCACATTTTTAGGTAAGAAACTACAAATATAAATATTAATCTGAAAATAACTGATAAAAATGATAATTTCCGTATATTTTTTTTATTTTCTTATATTTTATGTAGTTCTGTAATAAAATTATATATTTTTTTCATATAATTTATATATTAATTATATAAGAAAATATATATTGTATAAATATATGATAAATTTGTTACTGTATTCAGGAAAATATTGTGAATTTCATCATATGTACGGAATGGGCGAATTCCGAGAAGCAGCAAGTTTATTAGTATCCCTTTTAGTCTCGAATTTGACACCAAAATAGTAAGTTGTGTTATTCATCTTAAGAATATTTATTATATAGATTACATGGATTGTAATTTTTTCTCTTTCCTCAGTTTTTGGTCTATTCTATTAACGGATGCTATACCGTTACTAGAAGCGGAAGATGTGATTTTTTCGTCCAATGATTGTTATGAATTGCTACGCTGTGCGGAAGCTCACGGCGATGATCCGAAATTTCAAGACAAAATTTCCGTATTCCGAATAGGCGTTGCACGAAACTTGGCACGATCTCTAAGCTTAGAAGGTTGCCAAGCTGAACACTGACATTATTTATTGCTGTATTCATTTTCCTCTTAACAAATGTTATCAGTATCTTTTTCTACTTAATTTTGCAATTTATACAAATATAAACAATTTAAACATTATAGAAATGATTCTTAAATAATATTTCATTTGTTATATTTATTGGAGATATATCAATAAAAAAAATGTTTAATAAAAAATGTTCAATAGAAGAAACTATTGCTTAGCAATTCAATGAAAGATATATCCAAAAAAGCTTTTACAATAAATGAAATATTACAAATATGTGAATATTAAAAGAGAAATTGAGAATACAATAGAAGCTCTCCATTCCATTCTTTGTTATTTTGAATTAATTAATTGATTAATTAGGATAAAGAAATCTTTATCTTCTTTTATCTTTTAATTTATATAAATCAAAAATAGAACACTCTAAATTAAAAGTTTATCTTTTGTAACTAAACTTCTTATATCTTTTTATTCTCTAACTTAATATATATATATATATATATATATATATATATATATATAATATATATATATATATATATATATATATATATATATATATATATATATATATATATATATATACATCATTTTATTTCCATTAATTACAAAGAATAAATCATTTCTGTGGAACTGGAATAACTCTAACATTGCCCACATCGTTGTGTGATCTGTGATTATTTATAGAGAAAGCAAAAAAAACTAATATTTTCATTTTGCACATATATCATTAGAAATATGTATCTCTCTCCTTTGCATTAGAAATATTTCAAATTCTTTGATTAATTAATTTTAAAAAATAGCAAAGATTTCTTTGTTCTCATTGATCAATCAAATGGTTCGATATATATTCTAAAGATTAACAATAATCCTTAAAGATAAACTGAAATTAAAATAATTTAATATAAAAATAGTTCTTAAACGAATAAAAATCTAACAGAAGAGAAAAGGAAAAAAGAGTATATCCTACTTTATTATAGAGAGATTTATATTATAGGTCGATATTACAGGTCTATATTTGAAATTATCTAGTAATTGCGAATGAGAAATGACAATAGAATAATAATAAAAATATTTTGTTGGTATAAAAAAGAAATGATTATATTAAAAGTAGTAGTAGTATAGACAAAAATTATTAGAAAACTACAATAATTTAAATAACCCGAAAATAGCAGTTTAGGTGCAATCAAATTGATAAAAAAAATAGATTATGAAGACAAGGAAAATTCGAATAAAGGTTCACAGTAGGAAAAATAGGTTAGTACATGGTGAAAAAAGAGGACTAAAAAAGATGAAAAGGAGGAAGAATTAAATAAAAGTTTCGTGATAAAAAAAGGTGCCTACGAAAATGAGATAGAATTTTATAAAATGTGTCGTGTAAGAGAGAAACCAAATTACAAAGTAAAAAATTGTATAAAATTTATAAAGTAAGGCTAGGTACATACGTGGGTTGCTAGTTTTTACGATAAGAGAATTGATTGCACGAGCACATAACTTTTAAAACAAATTATTTTTCTTTTAACGTATCTATTTCATTTTAATCAAGTGAGAAAAAAGTACAACTATAAAGCACATAAATCTATTCTTTGTTTGTGCTTCTGATTTTATTTACCTTTTGTGTCATGATAATCTATCCTTTTACATCTTGTATGTATTATTATATTAAAAATTTATGTTTGAATGTGTCTCATTATTTATTTATAGATATTACATACATGATTTTTATTACAGATTTCATGCGACATGTTTTCTATAACTTTAGTAAATATTGATAGTTATCAAGCATCTCCGATACCAGAACTTGATGTGACATTCTCTGAATTTCGTGGTTCAGAAATAAGAAAGGTACCGATAATTAGGATATTTGGATCAACTGTCACTGGTAAGAACAAAATATAAAACCAGTATATTAATTTTATTATTGATCTCTTGATAGCATTTTATATTATTAATATAAGCATTTTATATTATTAAAAACATTTTGATAAAGTTTAAGAATTTTTAGGTAAAAAGACATGTTTGCATATTCATGGTGTCTTTCCATACATGTATGTACCATGCACTATCCAAGAAAATACAGATAGTTATGCTTATCAGTTGGCCGCATCAATTGATTCTGCTTTGAATAAATCTTTTGGTTCTACATTATCCACCAATCAACATGTGTATAAAATCCAACGAGTATCAGGAATGTAAGAACACTTCTTATTAAAAATTGATAGATTAATCTTATCATATTCATAATATCTTTTTTATAATAACTATATTATTAAGTAAAAATTGATAAAGCTTTCAGTTTAAGACATCTTAATAATGGCCTGGAAAATTTAAATTGTATTTATATTTTTCTATTTTTATAATTTTTTATTTTACATTATTCATTTTCTTATATTAATTATATAATATTATTTTGCAGACCTTTCTATGGTTATCACGAAAAGGAACATCTATTTTTTAAAATATATTTTTATAATCCAGCTATAATTAAAAGAACAGCAGATTTATTGCAGGTAATATGCTGCTTTTTTCTTTCTTTTGTACAATATAATTTTATATGCCTTTTTTCAAAAGAAAGATATCAAATAACAAAAATATATTTTTTCAGAATGGTGCAATTCTCAATCAAACTTTACAACCATATGAAGCACATATTCCCTATATTCTACAATTTATGATAGATTACAATCTTTATGGCATGAATTTAATAAATTTGAACAACATTAAATATAGATGTTCTTTGCAAGAATGTACAACAGAAGACAGTCAAAACAAATCTTCCATGGATTTGATAAACCCACAGATGTATCTTCCAACATCTGTAATGAGACAAAGTATGTGTGAATTGGAAGTGGATGCACATGCTTCAGATATTCTGAACAAACAAAACGTCAATGAAAAATTAGAACTAAATCCTGGTCTTGCTGCTATCTGGAATGAAGAAAAAGCGAGGAGGGCTGCAGTTGGTTTAGAAAATGCAAAATCACAATTATTATATCCTAAAACTCCTAGTAAAATTATTCTATCTCCAACAGACAATGATATTTATCAAAAGAATCAATTATTGAAAAGACTGAATGCCACATCACAAGTATTTTATTTTTCCATTGGATTACTTATCTAATATGTGTTTTATACACATGTATATGTATATATTTATTTTAATTTATTGATTCTAGATTAATGAAACAATTATTTCAAATCCAACTGTATCTTCATATCCTATTGAAGTAGAAGCTAATGAAAATATTTTAAATGCATCTTGTATTATAAATCACAATGAATCTCTTGCATGTGAAGAGACGATTGAAAGAACATTTTCTGATAATTATAAATTATTACAAGTAACTTCATCAGCATTTTTGGAAGCAAATCGAAGTCAAAGTAATGTAACAGATACAAGTATTTGTAAGTATATTCACTATATATATTTTAAATATCTGAATAAAATATTTCCATTATAATAAATATATAATACATATTTCACTGTTTTTTATGTGTACATATACGCACAGTGGATGCAGATGATATACAATTAGTAGAAATGTTGGCTGATTTAGCAGAAGAAAATGATATTAAGAGTAATGTGGACGATGATAGCGTTCTTGGATCTCAATATTCTGTATCTAGTGAACCAGTTAAAAATGATCCAGAAGAAGAAGAGATTGAAGATTTAAATATTACAAGTTTAGACTTAGATGATTTAAGTACTTGGGAGTCGATGCATAAGGGATTCAATCAGAATGATAATGTAATGGATGTGAGAGAAATTATAAATAATAAGCAGACTGACTCGGTAGATGATGTAAATATTACTGAAGAAAGTTCTATAGATGTTACACTTAGGAATTTTCCTCAACTTGATGGAATTGATAATTTGTATGGAAATATATTCGATTATGAAACAGAAACTATAAATGATATAAGAAATATATCTAAGAATAATACAGCAGCATGTTGTACTGTAGTTCAGTATCTTTCTGAAGATAATAAATATGCAACTATTATTAATACAGAAAAAGATTATATAATGTGTAATTCACACAGAAATTTATATTTAATGGAAATTATTGAGTATATTGCAAATAATCCTGAAAGATATTATTTGAAAAAAAAATTATTCAATTTTTTAAACAGATATTATTTCCATATATTTGTGAAAACTAGCAAAAATTTGCAAAATTCACAAATTGACAATGCTGTTGTAAGAAGAATATATTATTTAAAAAATATTAAAAGAAATGTACATAAGAAAATAGAGAAAGAATCATGTATTGCTCGATATCAATCATGGTTAGATCATCGAAATTTAGACGTTTATGATATAGATGAAATAGGAACATTTGGATGTTTAGAACACATCAATCAGCATTATATAACAAATTACGGAAAAGACAAATACAATTATAAGCAAGATTCAAAATCATGTATTCAACAAAATACTTTTTTGAATATCAACCATAAATTATCCAATTTTTTAACGAAATTTATAGTATCAAGTGTCGATGGAGCTAATGATTCTAGCGATTCTGAACCCGAAGCTGATATTACGATCGATGGACAGGAGGAATGTATATGCGTTTATAAATCTGGAAAGAATGCATCACAAAACATAATTCAGATCACTCCAAAAAAGAGAAAGTTTAATTTCAAGGATGATCATGAATCGCCTAACAAACGAAGAAATATGGTTGTTAAAACACCAAAAAGAAAATGCAATTCTCCAAGTAAAGTGCCCCGAAGTCCACAAGTGTCGAGTAATTACTCGCCTCTTAATATTACTATTACATCTCCGAAAACTAGTAAAAGTCCTGTACGACAATCCAATTCTCCAAATAGAAAACAATATGTATCGATATCTGATACTCCTTCTACTTCTACCACACCAAAACGTAAAATACGTTCATTACGTGTGAGCTTACTTTCTGAAAAACGCCTAACAAATTTTTCAAATTTAGATTTAGGTAATTTAAATACTTTATTACAAACACACACACACACACACACATATATATATATTTATTTATTTATTTACAGAAAACACATTAAACTTTTGATTTAATTTATTTAATTTATTTTTCTTTTTCAGAAGATAATATAAGCATTGATAATGTTAATGAGAAATTAGTAGTTAATGACACAGATATTGTGTAAGATTTCTATATTTTACATAATTTACAAATAATATAATTATTTATAAAATTGGAAGTAATATTTATTATATATTTATAGCGAAACTGATTATGCAAGTACTATAAAAAATACTAAAACTATTCATGAATCAATAAGAGATCATGAAAAGAAAATGGAAAATAATGAAAATTCATTAATTAAAAAAAGGAAGGAGATTTGTAAGAGATTATCTTTTTTTAATGACAATGAAATGGAAAATACTCTTGTAGAATCAAATCATCACGCGAGCCCATCCGAAAATACGATCACAGTTGATCAAACTTGCGCAGATGCAATTGCAATTTTTTCCAATAATGAAAATAGTGATAATAGTGTTCTAAGCAGTCAACAGACAGAGAAAAGTAATAATGATACCTCGCCCGAGAGAAACTATGCGTCAGGTATACGTAATTTGGCGAAAAAATTAACTACACTTCATGATATTATTCCTGAAACTGATCTGGACGAAGATGATGATGATATATGTAATACAACTTTTACCCAACATATCAATGAAAAGATAGAGAATGACAGTCAATGTTTTTCATTGGATAGAAATATTCATCGATCACAAAGAAATGCATTAATTACGATTACTACAAAGTACAAACCTCCTAGTACTGAAAGGATTTTAGAAAGTATGACATTGTATGGCATTCCAAAATATAGATCACAAAAGCCATTTTTCGGCAACAAACTCGATTACGCGAAACAAAAGGAATCTTCAAACACGAATACTCTGCGTTTCGATGTACCTATATTTAAATCTAGTTTAGAAGATATTACAAGTATCAAGCTATGGCGAAGAATGAAGGTCAATGAATTTCATCCCTCTGGAGCAAGTATAAAGACTTATCATATCAAACGGACACTTGCAGGATATAATCCATTAACAATTAAACCACTCGTGGTACCACCATCTTCTAAAAATATTAAAAATTGGATAAGAGCTAAAAGATATCTATTAGAAAAGAATTGTGATGTCAAAACATGCAAGCAAAATAAAGAAAAAGAATTAAATGTACAAAACGCACAACACTCGTCAATTAATATTGTGAATGAAAGAGATGTATCCCAGCAAAGAACATTTAATAATTCAATAAGTAACAATTCAAACACAGAGGAATCTGATTCATCAATATTTCAGCAAAGCATACTCAGTAGAATATCCAATGACACCAGGAAATTCGAGTTTACACAAAATTCTGATAATTTGCAAATATCTGGAGAGAGTTTAAATCCTTCCCTAAAAAAAGTATTAGAAAATCCGTTATTACATAGACAAAATAAGATGCAACAGCAGTTAGGTGTCTCATATGGCCAAATCGACTGTTTATCTAAGGAAAGCTGTAGCAATGTCTCGAATGAAAATCTTCAAAATGTTAGAGCGATAACTGCAGTAAGTTTGTTATTTTAATTCCTCTTATATGAATGCAAGATTTATTTCTTGATATCTTGTTAAATTTTTACAGCATCAGTATCTGACATTATTGTCTCTTGAAGTACACACTGTTACTCGGGAAGATCTTCTTCCTGATCCACAGTATGATTCTATCGCTGCATTATTTTACGCAATTTATAATGATATTCCAATGAATACCAATGAGCAGATAGAACATGGTGATTATCAAAATTGAATATTTTATATAAAGAACTTTTAATATATTCCTTAAGATTTTTTGGATTAAAAAATTAAAGATTTTTTTTCCCATAAGACGAAAAATTATTATTGCTCATAATAATCTCTTTTATTTCAGGCGCTATAATTGTAAATTCTAATTCTATAAGCCCAAGACTTAATAAGATCCATTCTGCAAGTGTAATGTGTCCAATATTATATGTTGCAACAGAACAAGATATGTTTAATAGTTTCATAAAATTGATTGAGCAGCATAATCCAGATATTCTACTTGGTTGGGAAGTGGAAGCACTTTCATGGGGTTACATTTTTCAGAGAGCACTTTATCTTAATCTCAATAACTTTCCAATAAGAATTTCAAAAGTTCCATATATGCAAGTATTTTCCAAGTCTGATGCTCATATATCTGAAAAGGATGATATAAGTGAAATAAAAGTACTTGGTCGCAATATTCTCGATGTTTGGAGAATCATGAGGCACGAGGCAGGTAAGTTGTATTATTTTCAAGGAATATATTTTTTTTTTCATTCAAAATGAAAAAGAGATTTAATTTCTTTCAGCATTATTAACATATACTTTTGAGAACGTTATGCATCATGTTTTACATGAAAGAATTCCATGCCCTTCCTTCAAAACATTGTCTACCTGGTGGAAACATGAGAGTATGATAATAAAAAGCAGAGTTATACATCATTACATCATTAGAGTTGTAGGCACTTTTAAACTCCTGAATCATTTAGATATTATAGGTGAGATTAATAATATGAATTTTCTATATATTTTCTTTTTACACATTTATCCGTGCGCGCATTAGATATATTTATTATTATTTTCTTTTCAACATCTTGAAACATCTTGAAACTTATTTATTCTAAACTTTCATATGATGTAGGTCGCACATGCGAACACGCTCGTCTCTTTGGTATACAATTTTACGAGGTTTTCTCACGAGGCTCACAATTTCGCGTGGAGTCCATGATGCTAAGATTAGCCAAACCTATGAATTATATTCCAATTTCACCATCTATACATCAGAGAGCCAAAATGCGAGCGCCGGAGTGCCTGCCGTTGATCATGGAGCCCGAATCTGAATTTTATACTGATCCATTGATCGTACTCGATTTCCAAAGCTTGTATCCGAGTATGATTATTGCTTACAATTATTGTTTCTCTACTTGTTTAGGAAGAATAGAACACATAGGCCAGTAAGTATATCTAACATATATAATCGGCAATATCAAGAAGAGATTGGATTAAATTTATTAATTCGGTATTTTTCTTCATTAGATACGGTCCATTTGAATTTGGTGCAGCAACGTTAAGGATAAGAAAGAACACTGTATTAAAGTTACAAGATAAAATAAATTTTTCACCTTGCGGTGTAGCATTTGTGAAGAAAGAAGTACGTCAGGGAATATTACCGCGTATGCTGTCGGAAATTTTAAATACCCGTTTAATGGTAAAAGAATCTATGAAGTTACATCCAGCAGAGAATCACACATTGCACCGTGTTCTTCATTCGCAACAATTGGGCCTCAAGTTGATCGCGAATGTCACTTATGGTTATACATCCGCCAATTTCAGTGGTAGAATGCCATGTATCGAGGTATGATATGCTTTCAAGCTATACAAAAAAAAATAATTGAAAATAATAAAGCTGATAAATTTAACTTAAAGAAACTCTTTAAATATTGCTTCAATACCGGCGCTATTTTCTGTAGAAATATTTACTTATTTGATGAATCTTTTATAGATTGGCGACAGTGTAGTCAGCAAAGGACGTGAAACGTTGGAACGAGCGATCAAACTAGTAGAATCTACTCCAAAATGGGGTGCTCGAGTAGTTTATGGCGATACAGATTCCTTATTTGTATTATTACCTGGGAAATCTCGAGAAGAGGCGTTCACCATCGGTGAAGAAATCGCGGATGCTGTAACCGCGATTAATCCCCCGCCTGTTAAGCTTAAATTTGAGAAAGTCCTTTACCCTTCTATTTTACAAGTAAGATAAGAATAATAAATAAATATAATAAAATTAATATATACAGCGATATAATATTACGTTACAAAAAAGAATCAATAATATCTCAAATTGCTAAATATATTATTTCAGACGAAAAAGCGATATTGCGGATATATGTATGAGACACGCAATCAGGAAAAGCCCGAGTTTCTAGCGAAAGGAATCGAAACAGTTCGCAGGGACGGATGTCCTGCAGTTTCTAAGGTAAGAAAGGTGACAGGATACGCTAAAAAGATTATTTTTACAATTGATCTTACAATTATATTCTCATATTGCAGATACTCGAGAAAGCCTTGAAGATTTTATTTGATACGAAAGATATTTCTCTGATAAAACAATATGTTACCAGACAATTCGACAAGATCTTTCAGCAGCGTGTGTCCATACAAGATTTAACATTTGCGAAGGAGTTTCGCGGGATACGCGGCTACAAGGCATCCGCTTGTGTACCGGCGTTAGAATTGACACGCAGATTGATTAGGAAAGATCCTCGTGCCGTGCCACGCGTCAGTGAGCGTGTTCGATATATCATCATTGCTGGTGCACCGAATCAGCCACTCATTCACTGCGTGCGTACACCAATGGAAGTCATCACTGATCCGACGTTAATTCCAAATTCTGTGTACTATATAACCAAAGTCATCATACCGCCCCTTAACCGCTGTTTCAATCTATTCGGAATTGATGTTAACAGATGGTAAGTATTTAAAAATTCGTAGGAATACTTTCAATCATATGCTTTAAATTTAATTTGTAATATAATCATAAAAGAGAAACATTTTATAATATTATATTTTTGTACACAGAATTTTAGTTATTTTTTTCACAGGTATAAAGAAATATCTCATCGCACGAGTTTCAATAATATGGCATGCTTAAGGGAAGATAATTCAAAATCTACTATTCGTCAGTTCTTCAGTTCTATGACATGCATTACTTGTGGAGAACAAACCAATAAAGAAGTTTGTCCAGATTGTTTTTCGCAACCAAGCAGAACAATTCTTATACTTCTTCAGAAGATAAGACAAATAGAAAGAAATCAACAACAAATCACTGCTGTAAGATATATTAAAGAAAAAAATATCATAATAGAAATATATTGTTAGAATGAGCTATTGAATCTTATTTTTACATTAAAATTTCAATCAATTCTCTATAATTCTGTATAATAATATAAATAATATAATTTGTAATATAATTTCTATTTATATAGTAATGATTTTAAATTTTTTCCTTGTAGATTTGTCATTCCTGTACTGGACGAATAGGTGATGTAGAATGCTTATCTTTGGATTGTCCTATTCTATATCGAATGGCTGGAGCTCGTAAAGAGGTTGCACAAATTTCTTATGTAAATAACATTATTTATGGAAATAATTCCAATGGAATCAAAGGCTTGAATGCAGTTGCTGAGTGGTATTAATTATGATGGTAGTAAATTTATTATTTGAAATGAATGAAATAAATAGAAAAATATTTTATTTTTTATAAATTACAAATCTTTCATAAATTAATTATGCAACATTGTAATATATAATTGTTAATATGTAATATTATGAAGATTAATGTTATTTTTTAAATTAAAAATATATAAAATTAACACTGTTTTAAATATTTAACTTATACTAAAATATATGTGAAATTTTGATTTCTGAATAAAATCTTTGGTATACAAATAATACATTTAAAAAATAAGAAAAAATTAAATAAAATAAAACAAGAACCTAATTACACACAATTGCACTGATTGATCAACCAATTTATAAAACTATTAATGAGAGATATTTCAAATTCATTTTCGATCCGGATAAATCTTGCGTCATCTGTTAGTTGATTTCGCGTTTTCCGTCTTCCCGATCCTGTCATACTGTTTAAATAACCGACATGTCAAACGTCAAATTCGATCAAATCGCTAACAAATTTTGTAGTGATTTTTGTCATGGCATATAAAATCCGAATTTTGCAAATTAGATCTTGCGGTTTATTATCATTTCAAACAATTTTCGCGGACTTGGCGCAATCTTGTATCAAGTATGATGTCCGCCACGAGTAATTCCTCTCGCAAAGTCTGTTGCTTTTGCAACTTAACGGAAGACGATGAACTGAAATATGGTAAATTCTACGAGTATAATGGAATTGTTACACATTATTATTGTTTGGTAGGTTTCAAGCGTTAATAGTTTATTAAATGTTAAATCTGAAGTAACCTCAAATACATCGAGATTTAAATTTGCTTTGTTGTCCTCTAACATTGATAAAATTGAATTAAAAAAATTTCTAAAAAAAGCTTATAATGCATCTGTCAGAATTATATTCTTAATATTCAGTTATTATTTTTAGCTCCTTTCTTCGAACATGGAACAGAAAGGAAACGATGACGAGGGTATACTTGGATTTCTGATAGAAGACATACAAAAGGAACTTCGCAGAGGAAAGAGATTGGTATATAATTTAAAAATATTATTTTGTATTCTCTTAATCAATAAACTATATTTTATAAAAAGTTTAACTAAATTTATTAAACGCTATTATAAATTATGAACTTATTCTGACATGTAATTCTTTATGTTCTTAGACATGTTCTTATTGCAAAAAGATTGGTGCTACTTTAGGCTGTTGTAATGTAAGGTGTAGACGAACATTTCATTTCCCTTGCGGCTTGAAAGATGGTTCATTATATCAATATTTTGGAGAATTTAGGTAAGTTTTGTAGAATTTAGGAAAAATACTAAATTATCTTTTATAGGTACTACAACTAAAAATTGGGTAATCAAGCAATTGTATTGTAATTGGAATCTTTCAGATCATATTGTATAAATCATAGACCAAAGCAACAAATCGATGAACATATTTTAAAACAGATTAGTCCATTAGATAATACATTATGTTATATTTGTTACAACAAGGTAAACCCCATCGATTTTGTAAAAACCTTATGGGCCCCTTGTTGTAAAAAAAATGCATTCTTTCATCATAAATGTATTCAGGTTAGTCCTAGCAATAAAATAATATCTATATGCATGAAAAGTTTGTATTGATTATTTGATATGTATTATTTCGCAGGTATATTTTACTTTCTTAAATATATTACTATACTTAAAGTATAAATACAAATATATATATCTAAATATATATCTAAGACAATTTCTTATTTTAGCAACTTGCTTTAAGTACAGGATATTTCTTCAAGTGTCCTCTTTGTAATAATAATAAAGATTTTCAAAATGCTATGTTAGAATATGGCATTTTTATCCCAAATCAGTAAGTACATTTAACAGCCTATTTCTTATTGTATATTTTTTCTTTAAGTTCAACAATAATTTGAATAAGTTTAATAATAATTTGAATAATTGAGTAAAAATTATTTTAAAATTAAATGCTGCTAACATTAATGATAAATGATATGTATATATAACAATTTGCATTTTTCATGTAATATTAGGGATGCATCATGGGAATTGGAACCAAATGCGTTTGAAGAGCTTTTATATAGACATGATCAATGCGACGCAGTGAACTGTCTTTGTCCAAAGGGAAGGAAGCATGTAAGCAGTAATGCGTAAGTAATAGTTACTTATAATAATATTAAAATTTTATGTATTGTTTAATATGTGAATCATTATATGGAATATTTGTGAAATATTACAGTAAATGGGAATTGATATTATGTCAGACTTGTGGATCGCAAGGTATTCACAGGGCATGCGGACAATTAAAATGGGCTGATCCTGTATGGGAATGCACTGAATGTACTTCCATATTATGTAAATATTATATTTCCTTGATTTATAGAAAGAGATACATTATGTACAAATGTTATTTGGTATCTATTAAATTGCATTTTATTCTCATTACAGATAATTCTAAAAGTAATGAAGATGCAAAATCAGCAGACAGTAGTTCTGATGAGTATGTCAAGTAGTTTTTTTAGTTGTATAAATTGCAAAAGATTTTTTAACTTTTTAAAATATTAATCTTATATCGATGAAATAATTAATGTTTCATATAATAATAACAATGTTTATATAATCTTTCTTCTATTTCTAGTTTGAGTATAGATTCTGATTCAGATTCATATAGTGATACAGATATCTCGGTGGGAATGGACTTTCCTATGCCCTCTTCATCATCCAGTTTTAATTCATCTTCGATGTCGTTGCCGGATTTAATTTCGGATATTAGATTGCGTCCTGGTCCACGTTCTTTTAAGTTAAAACAACAACTGATTAAATGGTGAGATAATAAAATTATGATAATAATTATAGTGAATATTTTCTTAAAATTTAATATATAAATAATAGACTATTTAAATAGAAAAAATTAACTTTTTATTTCATTTAATAGTTTGGAATTAACACGTTCTCTTGGGAAGGATATAACTACTAAAGTTAACGAAGATATCAATGCATCACTAAAGAACAATGATAAAGAAAATTCTTTAACAAATAATGATAATGATTCTCTTTCCACTCCAAAAGAAAAACTGCTGTTTAGCAATGATGTAACATCTCAACTAATTCGAAAAGAAATAGATGTTGTCACAATTGACAGTGATGATGATGATGATGATGAAGTAAATATATTAAAATATATTGTATTTTATAGAGTTTATATTGTTTTTTAAATATTTAGGAATATCACATTTTTCTTAATCGAAATCATATATGTTATTTTTATAATTTTTATTTTAATTATATTTTTTATTATTGCAGATTTTTACAGTAAAACGAAGAACAAATCTTTTAACTCCGCTATTGACATCTCAATCAAGTTTGCTTAATGCATCATCAAAGAATATTATTAAGTCAAAATTAAACACAGTAGAAAATTCAACATCTAAAAATTTAAATGCAACATCGACTTTATTGGAAAAAGATAACATTAAGTCACACAAATCTGCATCAAAATCAAAAATTGTAAACAAAAATGAATCTATCATTTCTGAACAATATGATGTAGCTTTGCGAGAATTCATGTCAGATCTGATTATAAAGAATGATTTAAATAATGATTTAGATGACTTGAATATAGATGGAAATCCTTTTATGAATATCAATAATACTGGTGCTACTTCTCAATCACCAAAAGTGTTTAAAAGTGTACCTGATCCATTACATGACAGTTCCTTTGAGGCTTCATCTTCGACGTGTAAATCGTTGGAGAAACTCGTCACATACATCTTGCCTTCGAAGCGTATATATGAAGAAGGTAATTTAAGAAAAAAAGCAAGAATTTATATATATTATGACTGCATATAATTGTGATAATATATTTTTCAGAGAATAATGTTGTCAATAAGTGTAAAAAAATCAAAGGATACAACGAAAAGTCTTGGGAAAAAAAATCATTGGCCTTCTGCATTGTGTCTAATGCAAACAAGCAGCAAAATAGAAAAACATCTCCAATCAAGACCAATGAGATTTGTGAAAATAAAAATTCCTTGAAATATACATCTATAAACGAACTTTACAATTTATCAATCAGTCGAAAGAAGATAAATTCATCAAATGAATTCATCAGAACGTAAGTCTAATACAATTCTAAAACGTAATGTAATACAAATTCTATAACATAATATATTTTTATTATTCGAAAAGTGTAAATTGATATGTGTGTTAATGATTTTGTTGTAAGAAAAAGGAAGAAAAATGGTATTTATTAGTCAAGAAAAATGATGTTAAGCAAACTAATTAAGATTTGCATTAACATAATATGTATTGTTATCCTAATTTGTACATAGATAAGAAAACTGCATGAACAGAAGAAATATGAATATAATATACAATATGAATATAAAATACTGAAAAAAAGATTGATATAAATGTGTATAGATGTATATAGATTAATATTAGTCTATTAATATGTAGTGTATGTACAATAGCAACGCCATTGAATTGCACAACACTGTCGCGACTCACAACGTCTTCCTCCGAGTTACAAATAAACACAATACCTGTTATCAACCTAGATTGATACTGCAATATATAAATTTACACGATCTAAAGTTTCGAGTCTGCAAATTAGAGAATGTTGAGGTATATAAATTTATAACACATATAAATTATAAATTATTAATTTTTTTTTATTGAGAACGAAAAGTTAATTATATATCTATATATATGCAGATGATTTTGTATAATAATTTCTTTGTAAATCCCGATAAACGATTCCAGGGAAAAGATACGAGTGAACCATTTGATTAACGATAAAAGCAAATGCTTGATTAGGAAGAAAGAGAATTTAGATTCTATTAGATCGAAAATGTCTTCTCATAACAATACATTTGATAATGGAAAATGCACTTGTAGAATTGGATTTGGATTATCACCGAGATAATCTAAAAACAAAATCTGATCACATTTGAGCATTTCATTGATTCAGCATAGATGCAATTACAATTTCTCCCGACAATGAAAATAATAACAATGTTTTAAGCAATAGACAGAGAAAAATAATAATGTGGATACTTCATCCGAGAAAAATTATGTGTCAGACACAAGTAATTTGGCAAAAATTGATTATATTATTTTATTAATATTATTCCTGAAACTGATTTTGATGAAGATGAAGATGATGTATAAAAAAGAATTTTTATTCAATATATTGATAAAAAGATAAATAACAGTCATTATAATTTTCATTAGAAAAAAATTATCAATCACAAAGAAATACATTAATTAGGAGAAACCTGAGTTTTTAGTGAAGAAATCGAGATTTATTACATATTTTTAGTAATTATTTTTTATCTTATGAATAAAAAACATTTTCGGCTTATTAATTGAAATCCTGTACATTCTACAAGTTTTAAAAATATTTCTTAATAATACATATATATATACACACACACACACACACATGTATACATGTATATTTTAAAAAATATCACAATTTTTCATATCTACGTTTTTCGTAATAATATTCTTTGTACTGCGCGATTATATGATCGTAAAAAATTAATTAGTATTGCTAATTAGAATGATTTGAATTCTTTAGAAAATGAAGGGATTCTTCAGAGGCGGAAACATTAAATTTGCTCACAAAGACAACTTGAGACAAATTGTAAATATAACGAATATAATCTTTTAAATTTTATTTATTGAGATTTAAATAGGACATACATTAATAGAGCAACGATGGCGGTAATGATAATGTAATATTAATATATATGTAATTTATATATTAATGATTATGCAATATTAATATGTAATATTAATAATAGAAAGAGAAAGAAAGAGAATACAAAACTTATTTATATTAGAAATTTATTGAATATAATATACATATAAGCATCTCTTTCATTATAGCATTCGTTTACCAATATTTCATAGCATGGAACACAACCAGAAATTGTGCACATATGTTACCTACTGTGGAAACATTCGTAGATACATGATTACATTCCAGTTCCGGATCGTAAAGGCATCAAAGCGTCGAACGTCTGCGCAGAAAACCATACCGTTGCGCAGATTCAGAATGCAGTCAACTACCTTAGGCCCAGTTCTACAATCCAGTTAATCCGAGTTTAAGTAGCAAATGGACCAATCAGGATCCAGTTTAACGTATTAAACTCGGATTAACTCGAGTTGTGGAACCGGGCCTAAAAGGAGTATATTTCCGAACACAATCATATGCAACCAATTAGCGATGAAGTTCCAATAATTATGTTTCCCTCCAAATAGAGAGAGAAGCTGAATACATATGTATAGAATTTATTCGAGTCTCAAGTATGTTTATATTTTTCTCGAAAGAGAGAGAATTTTCTCAAGATTGAAAAGGCACATTTTATACAGTAATACAAATATATCCATGAAAAGCATGAAATTATATCGATAATGCTTTTAGAAATATTGTTTCTTGCGGATGATTTGCTCTTCGAATGCGTCCCTGATCAAAGACATTAACGGTCGATCGCACCAACGCGATTTAAAAGTTCTCATGTTCTTATAAATGTGATGAGTGATGAGTGCGACGTCAGGAATACAATGGTGATAAGAAGATTGCATCGGAGAGCTTTCGCATGATCTCATTGATATTCGCGGAATTTTTGCCTTCATGCATAACGACGAATATCTCGCCTCGTGTTAACCAGGTGATTTTACATCTCTGTCCTGTCTCACCCTCAAATAACCATTGCGTCAAAATTATTATCAAAATTATTATGTCGTTACACCTGTAAAGCTGTCAACAAATTGTTTAGTGATCATATATCTGGCACATTGATTACACTTTGCAAATTGGATGCTCGCGATTTATTATCATTTCAAACGATTCCTGATCTTCAATCTTGATCGAGCTTTCTGCGATCTGTCATTCAGGCATAATGTCCGCCACAGCCAAGTCCTCTTGCAGGACCTGTTGTTTTTGCAACTTAACGGAGGACAATGAACTGGAGTATGGCAAGTTCCACGAATATAATGGAATTTTCACACATTATTATTGCTTGGTAGGTCCTAGATGTTAGTAATCTATTAGATGTTAAATAAAGTAACCTCAAACATATCAAGATTTGAATTTGCTTTGTTTTCTAACATCGAAAATATGGAATTTAAAAGATTTCTGAAAAAACTGGATATAGAAAACCTCTAATCACATTTCAGAATTATTTGTTAATGTTCATATAATTTTTAGCTTCTTTCTTCAAACATGGAGCAGAAAGGAAGTGACGATGAGGGTATACTTGGATTTTTGACAGAAGATATACAAAAGGAACTTAATAGAGGAAAAAGATTGGTATATAACTAAAAACGACACGATAGTCTCTGTTAATATATTGCTCTTGAGTATTTTATAAACAGTTTGACATATTTATCAAATACTACGAATTATGAATTTACTTTGACAAGTTCTTAATATTCTTAGGTATGTTCCTATTGTAAAAAGATTGGTGCTACTTTAGGCTGCTGTAATGTAAGATGTAAACGGATATTTCATTTTCCTTGTGGTTTGAAAGCTGGTTCATTACATCAATATTTTGGAGAATTTAGGTAAGAAAAAGTAAAGTACCGAATTATCTTTTACAGGTACTATAATTGTAAAAATTTTGAATAATCAAGCAATTTATTGTAATTGGAATGTTTCAGATCATATTGTATAAATCATAGACCAAAGCAGAAAATTGAGGCACATATTTTAAAACAAATTAAGTCACTAGATAATATATTATGTTGTATCTGTTATGACAAGGTAAATCCCACTGATTTTGTGAAAAGCTTATGGGCCCCCTGTTGTAAAAAAAATGCATTCTTTCATCGCAAATGTGTTCAGGTTAGTTGTAATATCTTCATGCATGAAAAACTAAATGTTTGATATTACTAATTTAAAATTACATTAATATTGTAATTTCTTAAATATATGTTTATAAATCTCTAATTGTATATTTATATTTGTTAATATTATTATTATTATAATTTTTACTATAAGACAATTTCTTATTACAGCAACTTGCTTCAAGTGCAGGTTATTTCTTCAAGTGCCCTCTTTGTAACAATAAGCAAGATTTTCGAAATGCTATGTTGGAATATGGCATTTTTATTCCAAGTCAGTAAGTATCGAAATTTAACAAGCTATTTTTTTTTATTACTTATGCATTTCTTCAAAATTCTTTAAGTTATAAATATTTAAGTTTGCAATATTAGTTGAGAACAAAAATTATTTTTAGATTAAAATATTACTAATGCTATTAATGAGATAAATTAATAATATGCATTCATAGCACAAAATAGAAATATGTATTTTTCATGTAATAGGGATGCATCATGGGAATTGGTACCAAATGCATTTGAAGAGCTTTTGTATAGACATGATCAATGTGACGCAGTGAAATGTCTTTGTCCAAAGGGAAGGAAGCATGTAAGCAGTAATGCGTAAGTAATAGTTGCTTATAATAATATTAAAATTTTATGTATTTAATAATTGAATCATTATATGGAATAATTGTGAAATATTACAGTAAATGGGAATTGATATTATGTCGGACTTGTGGATCGCAAGGTATTCACATGGCATGTGGACAATTAAAATGGGCAAATCCTGTGTGGGACTGCACTGAATGTACTTCCATATTACGTAATTATTTTCTCAATTCGCTGAAGGAAATATTGTTATTATTAATATTGCTGAAGAAAATATTGTTATATTGTTATAAATATATAAATTATAATTATAAACAAATGTTATAATATTTATATAATTGTATTTTTTTCTTCTTACAGGTAATTCTAAAAATAATGAAGATGCGAAATCGGACAATATTTCTGATGAGTATGCAATAAATCTATTTTTCAATTTTATAGATTTATAAAAAATTTTTTATAGAAGTTGTAAAAAATGTTTTAAATATTTATTTTGGATTACTATAATCAAATAATTATCATTTTCATATAATAATAATATTTAATCCATACATTTTTCTTCTATTTCCAGTTTGTCTAGAGATTCTGACTCAGACAGTGATACAGACATTTCTGTGGGGATGGATTTTCCTATGTTATGTCCATCATCCAGCTTTAAATTATCCTCAAATTCATCCAGCTTTAAATTATCCTCAAATTCATCTTCCTTGCTAGATTCTACATCTGATATTAGCTTGCGTCCTGGTCCACGCTCTTTCAAGTTGCAGCAACAAATAAATAAACGGTCGAATTATAATGATTGTGATAATAATTATAGTGACAATATTCTCCCAAATTTAATAGGCCATCTCAGAAAACAATTAACTTTTTATTTTATTTTAATAGATTGGAATTAACGCGTGATCAACAAAATGATGACAAAATGAAACACATTAAAGTGAGTCAAGATACCAATGCATTACTAAAGAATGACAATGAAAAAAATGACAAAAAAGAAAAATCTTTGACAAATAAGGAAAATAATACTCAGAAAGAAAAACAGATATCTAACAGTGATAATAGTGTAACATCTCACTCAATTCAAAAGGAAACAGATGTTATCACAATTGAGAGTGATGACGATAATGAAGTAGAGGTAAATAAAAATACATTCGGATTTTTTATAAATATTTAAAAATATTGCATTTTTTAAAGTCATACGTTATTCTTATCATTCTTATAATTGTATTTTCTATTATTGCAGATTATTACATTAAAGCAAAAAACAGGTCTTTCAGCTCTAAAGCAATCGACATCTCAGTCAAGTATACCTCGTGTACCATTATCAAAGAATAAACAGTTAAACACAGTAAAGAATTCAACATCAAATTTATCTGCAATATCGTCTAATTTATTGGAAAAGGATATTGTTGAATTACATAAATCTGTTGCATCAGAATCAAAAATTTCAAACGAAAATAAATCTATCTATCTCATTTCCGAGCAATTTGATGTAGCTGCATTGCAAGAATCCATGCCAGATGTGATTTCAAATAGTAATGATCTAGATAATGTGGATACAGTGGATACAAGTCCTGTTATGAATATCAAAATTACTGACGTTATTTCTTTACCGCCTGAATTGTTTGAAAGTGTACCTGACGTCACGTTACATGAAAATTCCATTGATACGACCTCTCCTTCAACGAGTAAATCATTAGAAAAACTTGTCGCGTATATCGCGCCTTCAAAACGTATATATGAAGGAGGTAATTTGAGAAAAAAAGCATAAGTTTTCATATCATGATTGCATATAATTTTGATAACATATATTACATTTTCAGCAATTAATACTGGCTATTCTAAGAAAGTCAAAGGAGACAATTACGAAAAATTTAGCGCAAATGATTCAGTAACCTTCAATTATCATATTAATACTTTTGATGCGAGTAAAGAAAATGGAAAAATATCTTCTCTTAAATCCAATGAAGTTCATAAAAATAAAAATTCCTTGAATTGTACATCTGCAAACAAACTTTCCAATTCATATAATAACCAAAAAGATAATTTATTAACCCAAATGTCATCTCATAAGATGGATGATATGAGACATACAAATCAAGTTGCAGGAAATTATTTGGAAGACAATGCCACATTACTTCAGGTACAACAAAATAGTGAAAATCCTGTAGTGAACGGAACCTATTTGCCCAGTAGCAAATGCAAAAATCCACTTTTCTTCCCATTGGCAAATGTTTATGATACAACGTTAAACTCGAATGATACAAATAGTCAAGATACAAAAAACAAAGGAAACATGCATTTGACAAACATCATTATGCCAATGACAAATGTGATTAATCCTCAAACTATTGTTGTAAATCAATCAGTGACATTTAATGGAAGTATGCCCGTTATTGCAAACGACAATCAGATGAAAATGTTAGATAAGAACAAAGTTGTCCTGATGAGAGAAAAAATGTTCGCTAATGTATCCAGTCCTAACGATTCTTCAAACAACATATTTGTAAGTAATTTATTAAAAAAAATTTAAATATTAAATAATTTATATTAAATAAATGTAAATAATGTAAATAATTACTGTGACTAGTTTTTTTTTTAAATGTTATTTTGGATAAAATATTTTTGTGCAAAAAATCATTGTATACCCCGCGTTCATGCTTTATAAAGTAATAGCAAAATAATAGTAAACATGATGAGCACATTATTGATTCTGGTGAGAAATACAGTGCGGGGAATGTGTGTCATTGTAAACAAATTTCCCCGTGCTTCCTCTCCAGTGTATATCTTGCGATTCTAACAGTGTGACGGGGATGCAGGCACCTGCTGTCCTGCTGAAATTAACTCAACCGGTCGAAAGAAGACAAATCCGTCAACCAAATCCTGTGGGAGGTGAGTCTAATGTAAATGTAATACATATTCTTTTAAGGCGAAGAATTCTTATGAAACAACTCTAAAAATAGATAATTTTTATTTGTTTCTTCTCTCTCTCTCTCTTTTTCTTTTTTTTTTGTGGGACAACTTAACAATATCTAAATAAACTTTTCGACGACAAAGAGGTATCCTAAACTACAAAATTTTTTTTTTAATTTTCTTTATTGTATATAATAGTATCAGTCACATTTGTCGTTATTGGCATGCAATATAGCGCTTATCACAATTATCTAAAAACTCAAAGTAAAAAATTTTCTTAAAGTTTTTTAGATAATAATTTACATTAATAATGTACCTATCTAAAAAAAATTAAAAAATTGTAATTTTATATTGTTGATAAAAATACTACAAATGAAAATGATAGATATAAAATTAAATTGATAGATATATAAGGAAAAATTTATAATAAACGAGCTTAATGTTAAATTATTTTGCAATATTGTTGCAATGTGCGATGTTTCATGAACGATTTTTTTTAATCTGTTACATGACAATTTCTTTTTATTGTTAAAATAAATCCTTCAATTCTTACTGTAGTGAATTGAATCGTAAATTAATGGTTATTAATGATTTTGTAAAAACAAGAAAGAGAAGATACTTATTAGATGCAAAAAATAATTTTGATAAAGCAAGCTAAGATTTGAATTAACATAATACATATTGTAATTCGTATAGAACAACAAAATACATGATAAAGTGATAATAAAATGCTGAAAGAGAACAAGATTTATATAAACAATGCATCTAAATTAACATTAATCTATTAATGTAGTGTGGACAGCAACAACGCAGCCGTTGAGTCACACAATCCTGTCGCAACCCGCAGCGTCTTCCCTCGAATCACAAATAATCACAGTACCTGTCATCAACCTAGATTGATACCGCAATATATGAATTTACACGACTTAAAATTTCGAGCCTGCAAGCCAGACAATGTTCAGGTACATATCACAATAATAATCATAAATTATTAATAATTTTTTCATCAAGAGTAGAGAATTTAATTACAATGTTTTTATACATATGCAGATGGTTTTATACGATACTTTCTCTGTAAATATTCCGATAAAAAATTCCAAGGAGAGTAAGATTCGATCGGCAAATGTAACTGCACAACAGGAACTGAAAGAATCGTCCTATTATGCAACAGATGAAGCTTCATCCAATGCAGAATACATTGACGATATCCAAACTGTGGAACAACAATTCAAGTTTTCTCGTTCGTCAAAAAATGAAAATTTAGTTAACGATAAGACTAAGTATGTAATACATGGCCAGGACGATACAAAAGAGAATTTAGATCCCATTAGATCGAAAATGCTTTCGCGTAATAGCACATATAATAATAGTCTAGTGAATGACAGTGGTGATACAGTGACTATCCACGATTCTTTTTGTGGCGAAACTGGCAATGAAATACGTCTTGCGTCTAGTGATACTAATTTAAGTGCATTAAATCGAACAATTTGTAATAAGAATGTAGAGGATACTGTAAAGGATGACATAGCGTTCGTTTCTAATGATCGCAATAAAATCTTGCATGGCAGTTGGCAAGATGTACAGCAGCATAAACAAGTATCTGTACAAGATATGACGCCTCCGTGTACGGAAGAGAAATTTGTTCGATTTTATAAAGAGAATAATAGGATAGTACACAACATTGACTTTGATTTCAATATTGTTAAAACGAATAAAAATATTGAGAAAATATTGCAGGATGATATGACTGTTTCTACAAATCAACATAATAAGGATAACAATATAATTGATAATGATTATATAGACGATTCTCAGACGATGTTACAAAACGGTTATAAACATTTAGCCTGTACAAACGTTACGAGACCAAAACTTTCGAATATTATGTTTAATGAGCATAGTATCCTGAATAAACAGATTAATAAATCCGATTCAGAGATTAATCAGCGCTTGACATTTGATGAAAATACTGTAAATCGTAATAGCGAAAATAATTTCAAACATAATAATAGTGAGTGTTGTTGCAAAATTAGTATAGATTTATGTAGAATACAAAGTCTGATCGACTCTAAACCGGAATTGTTTGTAAATCAAAAATGTAATGTTGATGATAAATGGTGTAAATACAAGAGTCAATTATGACCAAGGAGATTATATTCAACAACAGGTAAGATATAATTTTAAGAACAATGAATGATAAAAATATTAATCACTATCCACTAACAAATAGTGAATTACAAATACCAGCAAATTATATAAATAACATGGAACAAATGCAAATCGGAGATATTCCCGATGCGAATATATTTATGCAAAATCAAGAGCCAAAATGTAGAATTAAATATTTTGATAACCATATCTCGAATAGATAAATAAAATGGAGAATATTCCGCATGATAAAGAAATACAAATAACAAAGCAAAAAATTATTCATGTTTGCTACTAATATATATGAAACTGGAAAATACTCATTAATGAGTAATTTTGCTGTTTTTCTCAAATAATAAGTTTCTGCTCACCAGCCTTTGAATTGTAACATATAATTGCCACATTGTATATAGTAATGTATAATAGTTATTATATAAAATTTTATATATCATTATTTTTTATATTACAATGATATAATAAATAATTTTATTCATAAACATCAATTTTTTTTATCTCCACTATCTTGTATTAATAATATTAAATCAATATTGAATTGTCAGATAATTTAAAATTTTTGCCTTTCTTTGACTTTTCATGGCCTAAACATGACTATTGTATTTTGATTAGTTTAGATATTAATAAGATTAAAGAATTAAAAGTAACTATCCAATATTTTTAAGTTTTAAATTTTTTATTAAATTGATTTATACATATTACACCGCTGGATCGTCTCCTTTAGTAGTACGCGTATAGATAAGTTGTGCATGATGCTGCACGACCTGCTTGATTAAGCCTTTTTGCTGAAGTTCTATCAGCGCCCGTCTAGCGAGAGACCCTCTGATCTTTAATCTTTCACTAACAATCGAAGGTGTAATCAATTTGTATTGTGGTACTTCTTTCAATAATTTTTCGTACGTCGGTTTATCAAAGAGCACTTGATTGTTTAACTTGTCACGTACTTTTCCTTTAGACCACTTCTATAAGTAAAAAACAAAAAATTTGTTTAAAAAATTCTAATATAACATAATAAATATTAAAGATATATCATTTGAATCGTACATCAGACTCATTAAATTAGATTTTGCTTCCATATTTAATAAAGTTGATTAGAATTAATAATCACAATTAATAAAGCTGATAAGTTGATTGATTTAAAATCTATTGAAAAATCATATATGATAAAAAATTAACAAACCTTCTTCTTAGCTTTTCCACCAGATCCTCCCTCCTTCTTCTTCTGAGTTTTTTGAGGTTGTTTGGAGGAACCTTTCGTATCCTTTTTAGGCGGCTATAATAATAAATTAAGCATAAGACACATTCGCGACATAAAGTTTGATTATTTCTAAAGATAGCAGTCAGACTCATTAAATCAGTATTTTGCTGTCACAGCTGTCTAGAAAATAATTAGTCATCATAGAGATGAACCATTAATATTATAGAGTTATATCAAATATATATCTTCAATATTTGAGAACATCAAAGCAATATTGGAATATTTTGAAGATGTTTTATATTGTCCAAAGTATTATGCAAAATTTTTATATTTATTTTATGTATTAAAATTGACTTGCATATTATTTAATATTAATATTAAATAAAACAGAATTTCTTGCAATTCATAGAAACATTAACACATAGATGTTTTGCTAAAAATATTAAATATACTTAAAACAAGTTGTATTTTTTTATATAATTAATTATCCTTTAATTAAATTTTGGAATCACTGATATAAAATTATTTCTTTCAATATAAAAAATATTGCACTTTTAATATTTTTCAAAAACCAAGATGAGGATTATATGCAACACATGTATCCTTGAATGCAGATAGGTTACATTCCTCATTCGTAAACAGAATCGCATCCGAAACGTACTTCCAATTTAAATTTACCATTAAAAACAAAAGTCTTTGCTCTCCACGTAATATCTCCTATATTTATCGTAGAATTACGGTAAAAATACTCTCTGAAATCGCTTAGTTTACACGTGAATACTCACCATGATGACCGATGATCAAGTAAGAAAGAGAGCGGAAGTTAACCGAGCGCCATGTCGAATATCACGACGATCGTGGTTCCATCTATGACGAGCAACGTAGCACCGGATATCCGGTGCTACATTGCTCAAAGTCGCGATAAAAAAATCACGTAGCGCGAAGCGCTACGAAGCCATGATTACGCATCGTTTCGATAAATTATTCCGATGCATGACGAGTTTCGTCTCGCGCGTGAATCTATCCCAACACGTGACGCGCCGACTTATCTGTCACCGCTCTCCCTCGTCGCTCCCCTCCCCTCACCCCGCGTCAGAAGCGGTTGCGAAGCATGGCGCTCCGTCGTCGTGTGTCTCGCGCGCGACCCGCTTTTCCACACCTTTGACAGCCGGCATGTGTCAAACGACCGGTAATTAACATCACCGAACATCGCCGGTTTCGATCGTGGACTCGATTCCTCCGATAGCCGTAACAGGTAAGTCGAGAGAGAATTGCAGGTTATGATACCCACCATTCTTCATAGACGTGTCACCGCATTAGCTGTACACGCGACCGGACATACGCGCGTATGTGTGTACGTGTTGCTCCAATTAATGTCATTGTCAACAGCTGGAGATGCTGTACGTTGTAATTCACGATCGATTCGATTAATTACCTTGATTAACAGTAGTAGGTTTTGGTAAAGAGTAGTGAATTCTTATTAAAGTTGATACTTTATCCGATTTCTTTGTAAACATATTTTAGCCATGAGTGAATTTTTACACTGAAAAATTGTCTTTAAAAGTTTCGTAAATTCTGAATGATTACTTTGACAGAATGAAATATTCTCTATTTAAAAATATATGTTTTTTATCTTAAAAATAATTATATATATCTTGAAAAATTTTGATGAAAATATTATGTAAAAGTTTTAAACCCTATTTTAATAATGTTTATTCTGTTATTTTGCATTTTTTTTCACACGTTTAATTTTTTTCTTATAGGACAGATTTTGGCTTACAGAATTGACATTGGGACGATTATAAAATGCTGCCACTTTCGCACAGTCCACGTGATTCACGCTCCAACTTCCGCAGTAGAGTGAAAGAGAAGCTGTTGGGTTGGAAACGCCTCATCTTTTCCGATCAGAATACCCGGAACTTATTCCTGTTTCTGATCCTCAACTTGTCTTTCGCCTTCGTCGAACTGTTCTATGGAATATGGACCAATAGTCTTGGCCTCATCTCCGACAGTTTTCACATGTTCTTCGACTGTACTGGTTTGTTATTTGGTTTAGCTGCATCCGTCATTACAAAATGGAGAGCAAACGAGAGATATTCGTATGGTTATGTAAGAGCAGAGGTATTAGGCGGCTTTGTAAATGCCTTACTCCTATTATTCATAGCCTTGTTTATTATGTCTGAGGCGGTGGAGAGGGCGATTGAACCGCCAGAAATCAAACATGAGAGACTATTCGTGGTTTCTGTCTTGGGACTCATAGTGAATTTAGTAGGAATATATGCATTTAAGCATGGACACGGCCATGGACACGGACATAGTCACAGCCATAGTCATAGTCATGGTGGAAAGGGACATCATGGTCACGCCCATGACAATTCTTATTCTGTCCTGAATCACAATTATGATCATCATGTTGAAGTCGACATGTCATTCAGTGGAACAAATTCGCAAATTATGAAAGGAGTGTTCTTGCATATACTTGCGGATACTCTCGGATCTGTGGGCGTAATTATATCGGCGGTGCTAATGCAAATGTTCGGTTGGATGATTGCCGATCCAATTTGTTCCATGCTCATAGCAGTATTGATAGTGTTAAGTGTAATCTCGCTGATGAAAGAATCATGGGAAATACTCATGCAGAGACAGCCAGCAGCTCTAGATCACATTCTACCCCAGTGTTACAACAAAGTGACACAGATACCTGGCGTTTATACTGTACAGGAACCACACTTCTGGACATTGTGCTCGGATGTATATGTCGGATGCCTGAAATTGGAAGTAGCCAGAGCAGTGGATCCTAAATCCGTCGTGACAACGACTCAAAAGATTTTCCAAGCGGCGGGCGTGAGACAGCTCACGATTCAGTTAGATTACGCTCCCATGTGATCCACGAAAAGCACGTGCGTTGTGAAATATTCTTACAAGTGTCCCAGAAGTGTATTTATCTACGGACTTTGCCGCAAGGAAACGAGAAACACGATAGTGCCACAAATTGTCTTCGCCGCGTCAAAAGTCGATGATTGTACACTTTTGAATGGTAATCCATCTCATCTTGAACTACAAATCGTTTAAGAATTGTATATGCCTTATAGAAAAATTCTGCTAATACAATACTGATTGAAGAATAATTTCTAAAAGAATATACAACTAAATCAAATCTCTAGTTTAGTCATTTTTAAAATGGAAACAGAGAACAAATGTATTTCTCATCATCGTCAGATATGTGAGACATTAAAAACACCAGTCAGTTATATCTCTCCTATTCCAAAATCTCTGTGAAAAATATTGCTATTTAACTTTATACAAATACCTCACTGTTATTAGAGTGAAGGTTTATCTCTCTATTTGTATGAACTTTTACTTGTAACTATTCGTCTAAGCATTTCAGATTCAAGTTTAATTTAGCTCTATTATAATGTAAGAGTAGCATTGCTTAGATTTTTTATTTTTGCAATGATATTTTAAGGTATGTCTAGCATATTTTTGACAAGACCTCCAAGACAATGTGAACGAAAGTGTGCTAAATATTACATAATTTTTGCCTATTGATTTATTGTTTATATAGGATTAAATTATTGTAAACTTGTAATGAGAATAATGCAAATGACCATAGAAATTTGAGAATAGCTGTAGAAAGCTAGTCATATCTGTGCAAGCAACAATGGAAAGTACATACAATAAATAACATAATGGAAAGAATACTTTTATGAAAAATTTATTATTTTATATGTTGATCTAAGAAAAGAGATTGCAATTTGTATTTTCCGTCCATGCTAAGTATTTTATTATTATCTTCCTTTGTTAAAATAATACGAATTAATAAATGTAACTTAGCATGTATGGAATATTTGTTGAATATAATATTGATTGTATATATCATCTGCTGAAGATTTATATTATTTGTACATCATTTTATAATTATAATTTTTATTATAATTATTGGAAACCAATATCAACATTGTAGACAAATATTTATTGGAATATTCAATCAATGATGAAAGATTGAAGCTTATGAAGGTACATAAGCCAGGATCCAAAGAATTATAAGAAAAAAACATATGTTTTTTTTCTTCTAAGAAATATATTTTGTCTTTTACTATGATTTTTTTTTAACGCAATTTTTCCAAATTTTTGAAAAAGCTATGGATAATCGAAATCTCATATCGTTAAACGCAGTGTTTTTCTCTAAACTTTTTGATTTCACACACAATTAGATGACTCGAGACATTTAGAGTAACAAGAGATAAAAAGAGCGATAAGAATAGTGCGATATTTACATGCATATTCTATATGTATCAAGTTAATATAAATAAACCGGTATTATTCGAGACATTACTTCCAAGTGTGATGTAACGCAGGCCAAATTTAATTATTATGTTATAAGTAATAAAATATCACTATGAAGTCGCTTCGATCACTATTGACTTTAATATGACTATGACTGTAGACAGTCATATTTATATATCGCGATGTTAGATACAATGATCGACAATTAATGTTTTTTTTCCAGACAAACGATTCCAGAGATAAGAACGAATATTTGTATAACGCATGAGAAAATGCATCGTGCTTTGCGGATCTTTGTTACGTTTTTCCAATATTTTCATTACATAGATTTATGAATGCGCGGATGCGTATGATTATTATAAAAAGATGGAACGTGTAAATATAATAAAAATACGTACTTACAATGGGTTCTTCATCCTTTGGCAATTTACAGCTTGCGTTTGCTTGTCAATTAATGATTATTATCGACGCTTTACAAACGTTTGGAGCACGAATTTTTTATAATTGTTGATGATAAAAAATGAAAAAATTACATGTTTAATTTATTAACATCATATATTATTAGCTGATCAACAATATTATCTATTTTTCCAAAATCTTTCTCTGCATATCATTTTTTTAAATTTTAATAATCGAATTCTTCTCTAACTAATAATAAATCGAGTGTAGCCTTTTTATCTTAATATAATAGTAATGATTAAATGATAATATAAACTAATCATTAATTTTTTAACATCATATCAATTTCTTTTACGCAAGTTTTCGCATTTGTGTCGCGCATTGCACGATTATTGAGACGAAATTCTCAAACACATATTACATTTATTTGGAGAAGATATGTGTACACATATAAATACATAAATATTTATAATAAAATTATTCAAGTTGATTCCCGGCACATGCGAGTATGTCGGGCGCTTATCTCGCAAGTCGCCGCAATTTTAATCGCTTGGCCACGTAACTAATAATATATGTTTGTGTATTTACTTCTGTGTGCGCGCGCGCGAGGACGTGTATGTGTGTGTGTGCATTGTATATATGTATATGTGACCATCAACTTCAGTCTTGCCGAGTGTTGATTTTCTCGTAAAATGGACTCACAAATGTTAACAGATCGCGATTGTACGCGGTATAATCGGAGAAATTCTTATGTACATAGCAAACTATCAAAAATGACAAAATTCGTCGTACATATGCTCGAGCGAGAGCACTTATATATCTAGTTTCGGATAATAAAGAATTACACGGGATGGTGCTGTATGTTCTGGAAAAACACCACGAAAAGGGAGAGGAAACTCTCAACGAGTACTGTCCTTTATAAGCGTCAGATGAAATCCGAAATCATAAATCAAAAAAATCAATGCAATCAACAATCTTACATTTCTACTATTTCAATTGTAATTTTTTTCAGCAAAATATGTTGGAGCTAATAGAGTTATTAATTTAATTATACAATTATTTTTTCAGACATATAATTTTTTCTTAATTTTAATTTGAAGATTGATCACAAAAAACTATAGAATATTCTAATATAAAATATTTTTTAAATGTAACATTTTTCTTAAAAAAAAAAAGAAAATACATTGAAACTAAAATTAAAGCAAAACCAAGACTTTTTAGTAAGATTATTATAATCGAATTTTCCAATTTTTCAAAATTATAATATATAATATATATGTAATATTTAATAAAATTTTTATAAGATTTAATACATTTATTTTTTTATAGTATATATTATGCATTTGTTAAAATTGATGTTTGAATTGATTTTTCAAACAGATTTTCGATCGACGCTTTATGTAAGGCGCAATTCAAAAATCAACAAAGCTCCCTTCGCGTTTCGCCGATCGCTTTCTTTTATTCCTATTAGTGGTTCCAGTTGAATGGCAGTTATCGTTGGTGCATTTGATCACGATCGATCATCTCATCAATCGAAATCACGCGTAACATTGTTCTCAGCTCATGTAAGATACATTTTATGGGATTCGTAGCACAATCGCAGGAACGACTTTCTAAAATGTTTGCGCGACATTGATAAATGATACCAAAGCATTCGCAGTTCACATCTAGCGCTAAAGATGATCGGATCTATTCGTCTATTGACATTGGAAGCGATCTTTTTTTTTTTAGATAACGTGATATATATATATATATATATATATATATATATATATATATATATATATATATTAACATCAAGTTTAGCGCTAAATGCTTATGCGAAAAATGCGGATCTTCGAATATTATGTTTGGCAGTCATCTTAATTAGAATAATTAATTATTTTATACAACAATAGCCTGCATCGGTGCCTGCATATGTACTCTTTATCTTAGAGAATTACGAATGTTCGACTTTCTTTCCTTTCACGCTTTTCGCGGAAAAACGCATAATATATACGTACGTAGGTGTATGTGTTTTTTGTGTATTCTATCGTTTAAAATTTATTCTATAAAATTTCTTCAAGTCTCCAACAACACGCAACCCCTTCAGTAAAGCTACCGTATCTTCTTGCCGATCACAAATGATAGTCGGTCGTAACATTTAATAATATCGTGTGACGATCGTATGTGATCTATATCGCTAAATAATATATTACTCTGAATCATATCTTACATCTTCATCTAACAACAACGAACGGTACTTATGTAATTGCAACAGCCTCTTGTTTTCCCGCTTAAATATTCTTCTCGCCTCGCGATAAATCTTTCCGTTTCCTCTCGCATTCTTTAAAAAATATTAAAAGGAAAATTCTTTCACACGGAACTTCCATTCATCCAACGGAATTCCAATCGATTTCTTCCATATTCTAACAATAATAATGTGATTTATCCATAAAATTCCATTGATTACAATTATAATGAATTAAATATGAAGTAAACATATTTTGCTTCTATTCATTAAAGTGAATATTTACAAATATATGAACGAAAATGAAGATTTGCAAAACAAAGATTTTATTCGCATAAAAGATTGTAGAAAATATATAAAAGGATGAAAAATAAATATATATATTAAATGATTTTTTTTTATTAATATCAACTATGATAATAATGCTATTTGCAAGTTAATACTTTTAGAATAATTATGTTTTTCGCTTAAAAACAAAATTATTCAAGATGAAAGATATATTTTTTGTTTTTATTTTTAAATAAATGTTTCTGCTTTCGCCATTTGGCATAATTTTTATTCAATATGATCCAATATCAATAGTCAGTGATATTCATTTTACTAGAATAGTGAAAATCACTTCATATAACATAAATTTCTTTGTGCTATTTTTTATCATTTCTTGAAAATGTTAAATGAGCGAAAATACTTTCCGTTGTTGTAATGAATCATCCTTGAGAGCTAATAACCGCTACCTATAATATAAAGTCTATATTGTAGATTAACGCGTCCCGAAACACACGCGCAGGAAACGAAATCACAGTAAGACAAAAATAAGTATAAAGTTAACCCACATTTCTCTTTTACATTTCTCTGCATTTTTACCTCTTGTTTACCGTCACACGACTAAAATCGACATTGATTCTCGCTTCATATATTCTTCGATTTATTCGTCTTTTCTAAAAATCTGTATTATATCTCTGTCTTACCTATCGCCTCTTTAATTTTTTGTTTGATTCTCTACAACTTCCTCAGAGTACGATCTACCGACTTTATTTCTTCTTCTTGTTCTCTAGACTCTCTTCTTATCTCTCTGGATTCTTTAATCCTACAACCTCATCCGCAAAGAGATCGATCATTTCTCTCTATCTTCGATAGACTCTTCGTTCCCTTTATTTTCTTCTTGCCTCGCGGCAAATTCCAGGGTAACTTCCTCCAAAATTATCATTCGCGATATCTTCATTTCTTCTTTCCCCGGCCACCCTTTTGCATCTTCGTAATCTTCAGACGGCAATTAGGACCACCGGTATAAACTACTTCCGTTCTGCCACCTTCCTCGGCCGCGGTCACCAGAGCCTTGACCGATCTCACGTGCACGTCTTTGGCACTGATTTCCAAAGCGGTGCCGGGATAACGATCACGCACGCATTTGCCGATACTGGTAGCCTGCGTCTCGGTAAGTTCGACGCCGTCCAAGCATAGCCAGGTGAGGCATTGCAGATGCGTAAGGATTGTCTGCACAAACACGTGCTCCATTTGCACTCGCTTAGCGCTGTCGGTGACGATCAGACCGATCGCCCTGAGAAAGCTCAGGCCGCACAACTTGAGGTACTTGGCGATCTGCCGCATCGTGCGATCGCTGTCCTCCAAAGTGATCCGCCAAAAGTTGATCCGGAGCGACTGCAGACTGCGAAAGTGCGCCGCCAGACAGCAGAAGAATTGCTGTAATATCTTGTCATCGATGAAGAGCAGCGAGCCGCTGCTGCCGCCGATCGTTGACTTGTCCAGCGACAGGTCGAGCTCGCTCAGCGACGTAAAACCCGCCAGGAAAGGTAGCAACAATGGTCCACGTAACGCCAAACGATCGTTCACTGTCACCTGCAATCAGAAATAATTTCCTCGGTAAACCTTATCGAGCGCAATTTGTTTCGCTCGCTTTCAGCCTGAGAGACGTACAGGGTGATTCCTCAGATCCGGCAAGCAATTTTTCGTTTCTATGAGTTCTCTAAATATTTTAAATTGTTTTTCTTAATTTATAACAAACAATTGAAAGTAAATTCAATAAACTTAAAAGAACATTTGATATTTGTTTTACAGTGAAAATTTATTTTTTAAATAAAATTTAATTTGTAAGAGTTTTTAATTTAAAGATTTTTTAACAGAATCATACATTTTTTTAGTTTTTATTTAAAAACTTGGGAAAATTAATCTTAAAGTCACAAGAGAGAATTTAAATTAGTTTAATCTTCTCGAGCTTTTAACAAAAGTGGATTAGATTAAAGTGTTGCATCAAACTCTTCAAGGAGAGAGTTAATTAACAAAAATACTTGAAAATTGAAAGTTTGCGATAAGCGGAGTAATTTTTGTTCAGAGAAAAACTAGACTGTAAATTCGTAAAAATGCGCTTGTAAAGTTTGATACTTTATTTAAAAATCACCCTGTACAGAAAAAGGGAAGCAGAATCGAGAGTCGGTGTAATGCGGGGACAACGAAGACGAATGTCGAGGGGGTTCGGGTCGTCCTTTATTTATCGTCATTGTGGCACAACCAACTGTAATTGCGCGTGTAATAGAAAATATATAAGTTACATCTCTTCAGGGGGGGTAAAGAGGGGTCTTATAGTATTCTCGATTTGAGAATTTTTATCTTGGTTTATACACCAAGTAAAATATAGGCATATATGTTTTTTCAAATGCGATTTAATTCGCGGATTTTTAATCTCCGAAATTTTACGCACTTCCATCCGCGTCGGCTCTTAATTGCTCCTTTTCTCCTATATGATTTCTTTGTTTAATACAAAAACAGAGCCTAAATTTCTTTATCTATTTATTAATTTGTTAAGTTACATAGATAAAGAAAGGAGAGCCTGACACAAGACCTGACAAACATTTCAAGCAAACACACAAGTAGCATTTCGAACATGAAATGAGATAATTCCAGTCCAATATCCATTTCTTCTTTTTATAAATATACAAATAAATATTTACTGAAATAAACTAGTAGCTAAAAATTATGTATATCATATTCAAAGATATCACATTTAGCATTCAAAATGATTGTAAATTTTATTTATGTCATATGTGAATTATTCCTATAAAAATGCGTTTGTCGATGGCTACAATTTGATATAACTGACATGTTGCATTTTTCAATCTCATAAAAAAATTTGAGATGAATTCTTGGACAGAGATGCTTGAATCAGAGTTTCTTGATTAGAATTCTAGAGCAACGAGAAGACAATATCCGAGATGTTACGGGATGGTCCAGCACGTTCACAATTTCCGGACTAGGGTCAAAATTATCAAGAAGAAGGAGACGATATTAGACGAGGGAAAATGATATTCGGTATTTCGGTGGCCTAACCGATTCTCTTCGTGACATGTTTCATGAACCATATAGAGGAGATTCATTTTTCAAGCAAAACGGATCATCTCCGTGAGAAACAGGAACCCGGATCACGAACTATTCTGCCCGAGGATCGAGGCGCGAGTGTATCTAATGGGCTCTGCGAGATCTCGGAAACACGATAGGTATACCAGCCTTATATACATTCCAGGGAGTTTGAACAGAGAGACAGACAGTTACAACTGCGTCTACTACTACTACCGTGGATACTGTGTACGAGTGTTATCTTCTCGTAACGATACGGATATCCGCATGTAGCGCACTTGAAGACATGTAACCGCATCAGTGGATGGGCAAGCTTCGTATGTTAGTCCAGTATAATGGGATTGCATATGTTATTAACGTCAGCGTTGTTATATTCTAGGACCAGATTCGTAAGCGAGTTTGTAAGCGAATTAGACCATTTAATGGCTTCCCTTCTAATTATTTTACGTACTTCATTTCAAATAATATAAGACAGTTCGCCGAGTTATTTTACACAAGTTTCCAAACTTTACTATATAAATCGTGATCTACTTATTAGTAACACGTTTGTGAATATTAAAAGCGTTTGAAATGTAAACTTTAAGAAAATTAATTTTTATGAATTAATATTTAATGAATTAATTTTTAATTAATTATAAACATATTTTTTTTTATTTTCCGATTTTCATGCTATTCAAATCCTCAAGAAATTTTAATGATAAATGTAATTTTGAATATTCCGATTAGCATTTTCAAAGCAGTATTCGAGAAAACAATAATCTCGCTCACCTGGAATCCCGCTAATCTCAGGAAGACGATTGCAGGACAGGCTGGAGGTGGTGCGGCTCGGAGAAGTTCGGCACCGGCATCGTCGCGACGTCCTAATCTCGCTAAGGGACCTTCGTGCACCGCTAAATGCAAGCGTGCGTTACACAGACTCAATTCACGTACGCTCGTGTATCTCAACAATTCGGAAAACACTGCCAGACTGTCGGATTCCTGTTAAAAGCAGACAAATTAAATTCCAAGGATACGATTATACGTAAACATAATTATAAAAGTATGCATATATAATTTATATTAATCATATATGTTTAAACATAAAATAAATAACTCCTTTATATTCATATGAAATTTAATATTTAGTTTGAAAATATTTACATTTTCATAATCGCTTTCGAATTAAATGTGTTTACTTTTATTTTCTGTGTGTTATTCAATTAATCGATATTAGCTGCTTTTTTCTAGAAGAAGGTGCATATTAAGACACCTGAATTACTTTTACTTTTATCAGAGGAAAGTGAAAATATTAAAAATTAATGATTATGCAAATGTAAAAAATTACAAGAGTTGATTCTAAGTCTTAATCGACTTTTAATTATTAAAATACAACTTTTTATACATTTATGCAAACATATTTCTTTCAATTACTAACTAATTAATTTAAATGCAGAGCTATTTTTTTACTCTGCTTGTGTAATGACGAATGCAGGGTGCCTAAGATGCTCGCATCAGTTTACAGCCAGGGCGCTTAAACGCACTTTACACCCCATCTGACGATGTTATATTATGTTAAGAGCGCAAAGTGATTAATACCTTCCGTTAAATCGCGTGTAAATGACGTGGACCTGTGAAAATTTCGACGTCAGAATCCGTAAGCGCAGCATCCGCGCAGTTCGCTGAAGCTCCGGTTAATCCTATCCCGGTGCATCGCACCTCGTCGCTCTGCACCCGGATTACTTAGGTCTCACTCGAACTAATCTGCCACGAGAATGTCGTTAAGTCGAACGAAGAGCATTTCAGCTCGCGCTTCGTCGTCGCGACGATCTCGCCGACTATACGTCGACGTTATTACGTTATTCCGACAATAAGACAGCGAGAGAGGAATTGCACAACGCGAATTATACGGGCATCGCTGCGAATCGCCCGGGGACGATGGTAACATGGGATTAACGAGGCGATTAATCCAACCAAAGTCATCTTCTGCGAATTAATCGACGCTTTTCGTCGCAAAGACGAATTCCCGAGATAAATTTTCCATCAAACTCTTTCTCACAAAGTCTCATCTCTGAAGCGTTTAAGCTTCTAATTAAGAGTTAAATTAAATGCACTATCGATAATATTAGATTTTCTTTCTCGAACAAGAAGGATCTGAAAGCATGGCAGAGCCTTGCTCGTTCGATCTCAAGTCATGAGAGCGGGACACAGGGAACGATGTAGCTTCATTATGCAAGAAACGTCGTCACGTACGGGGAGTGTATCTCATGGGAGTTGGAGAGCAAGCAGAGGGAAGAGCTCGCTTCTCTACGGAAAACTATGTAAGCGGAAACCCCGGCTGTTTGCCCAGTTTACGCGTCGTACATTAAACGCGTACGTTCATTAATAAGTTAGTTTTACTTTCGAACCTTATGTGAGATTTATGAGAATCTTGAGTTGCGTAAACCAAGCTTGATGAGAGTTGTGCGAGACGCTGACGGCGAAGTTTTTCGAGGCGATATAAGGAACACGATTATTCTATCGAACGTGATTAATAACGACATGAGATATTTTCTATATACTTTTAATACAAATATTTTTAATAATAAATACTGAAAAATTTTTCCTTTTTGATACATACAAAAAAAACTTTGCCTTTTCATAGACGAACATTGCTTATTACATATGTATCTTGTTCAGATTATTGTCAAATATATTATTACATTATTATTATTATTTAAAATTTTGCATAATTTAAAATATGTAATTAATATACTTCGTATGAGATATAGAGATTATAAAGTTTATATATATTTGAATTTTTTTTGATAATTTTAACATTTTTCTAATAATTACTTATATTAAGATGAATAAAAACGTGTATTTCTTTTAATTATTTCATGAAATGTCATTAAAAATCAGAGAATTAGAGAGAATAATTTTATTATATATTACGTTAAATAGAATAGTATTGGATGATAGACAATTTTTAATGGAAAAAGAATGTCGTTATTTCACATTAACTGATATGTAAATTGCTTCGAGAGTCATGAGTCATCTACAATAAAATATTGATATTTTCTTTCCTTCACTGTAGAACTCACGACTCTCGAAGCAATTTACATATCAGTTAATGTGAAATAACGACATTCTTTTTCAATTAAAAATTGTCGTCTATCATGCATTGTGATAATTATTCTGCAGTCGGCAAATAGGGCCAAAGATAGATTTCGCTCTCGAAAAGAAATATTCGATTATTTAATCCAGCTCGTATCTCGATCAAATGAAAAAAAATATTTCAATAGAGGTATAAATAAGTCTAGAGAGCAAAGTACTTACAATGCTTTGACAGATTATTACATTTTATTCAATATGACGCAAATCAGTGGACAACAAAAAGATATATCTATAATTATTCATAATATTTATCATGCACACATATACATATATAAATGTGTATATTATATGTGTATATTAATATCTCAGACTAAAATGATTGAGATTCAAAAAAATATATTCTGAATAAAAGCTCAGTATGTATATAATTAAATTTGATAAAAGATTGATTCTGTTTTAAGAATCAAATGTTTCGTTTCATGAATAAAATATTTTAATTTTAACATGAAAAATATTTAAATCATACAAAGATTTAAAAATACGCAGCATGATATCATATAAAAAATTTCAACTCGCGTCTTTATTCCAAAATTTTAGAAATGTGTTAAAATTCTATCTTGAACTAGAACGAATACTTTATATTGTATTATATTTTCAAGTCCATTATTTCTCGATATGCGCAATTTAAGTTCTTAAACAAACATGTATGTGTGCGTGTTTTCCTGATAATATTAAATTTTATATCACACCATATTTTTTCTTTATTCAATAAAGTTTCTAAACTGGACAAGTTCTATAATAGCAGTTTAACTCCGCAATCACTGATACACACTCAGTACTGGTGACCCAGTTACATTATAATTTTTTTCCTAATTTTTTGTCTATCGAAAAAAAACTGACACAGATTTTGAAGAGACTAGACAATTATATTTAAAACAGTCAAAAACATTTATAGAAATATTTTTATTTGTTTATAAAAACCAATTTAAATACGATTTTTATAAATATAATTTTAAAACACAATTTTTATCTAAATAGATGTACAAAATATTTAAAAGAATTCTTCCATTTTGTTATTTTTAAAAGATATTTGCAACCAATTTTATATTGTTTATTTGTCTCTAAGTGTGTTTAAATAATTTTAAAAAATATTACTTTTAAATACATATATTACTTTTAAAATATACCTTGCACATACACATGTAAATCTTCAAATGTGCAAGACTACGTAAGATTAACAAACAAGAGCGTAAAATGTTGCGCGTTCTGTCCTTTGAGATTCATCTCGTGGAAAATCCTAAAGTAACGCGGAATTTATTGTTGCTAACCGCTATATTTACGAGCCGGTGATATTTATTGCTTCCTGACAAGCGTTTGTTGACGAGTGTCGCTTCCTGGGTAGTTCGTTCTCCAACTCGTTCGCGAAATCCTGCCTGGTTTCATCAGCTCGCGGTTGAAGAGCGGAATGAATAAAACCGGCGCTGAATCCAGCACGTCGTTGTCAACGTCGAGATGAAAAGCGGGTGAGACTGCGTACAATATATATATACGTGCCTTGAATTTGTTTTTTGAGACTATTTAAAACGAAATGTGCGCCTGAGAGAATCGTCGACGATAGCGAGAATCCGTCTTTGATATTATTTCGCGGATGCGCGTACAAAGTATTCGTCGAATCCGCGATTCGTTAGCGAGAAATTGCATTCGCGTTTACTAGAGATTGTACATTTGATGCACATGCATCCAGTGATAAGGCGCTGCGAGAATTATGCTAAGAATAGTATCTTTATACGAAATAGTATCTTTATTCTCGGGATCTTAAAATGTAATTTTGAGTAAAGTTGCGAATTTACGTGTACATAAACTTTCAATTCAAACTCACAGCTATTTAATCTCAGCTATTAACCTTCAGCTCAGAATCAGCTCTCAAATCTAAAAGTAGCATACATTTGTTGAAAATATAAAATTTAAAAATATTACTTTTCGCAGATTTAAACATATATATATTTTTTTACTTTTTATCATTATTAATGAATTTGAATGCCTTATCATTTTTTGCTCGGATTTAAACTAATGACATCCAATGTGTAATCTAGAAATATCAAAGTGATGAATAAAATATATGTGTGTATTATAATGAATTTCTTGCTTTATTGAAATTAAAATATAATTACAAATGAAAAGAATATCACATCATCTATAAGTTTCTTGAGATTGATATTTTGCCTTAATAAGCACAAAATTGCTTATTAAATTACTAAACGAGGATTTATTTGCTTTTTAAAGCATTGTCTGTACAAATTAATTATTGAAGTAATTTTTATCTTCGTCCGTTTAAAAACATAGCAGAGCAATAATAAACAAATTTACTGAGAAATCCTATGAAAAAGGTAGTAAATACCAACAAAAAGCAGAACGTAAAACTGCGACGTTTTTCGTAAAACCGCGACACGAAAAATCCTTCATTGTTTTTTCCTCTAGAAGCTTTTTCGTTTCCCGGATGGAGTCGGAAAAGCTTCATCGCATCTGGTATGATGTGAAAAAAGTCAAATTCACCAAAAGTGCGAAAAACTCAAGATAAACACTGAGACAAATGCACTAACATAACTAGATGAAAATTTCTTCAAGTTAAATTAAGCTTTTTAATTGTTTTTTCACGCACACAACAGTATTTTCTCTTCCCCATGATTGATAATTATTAATATCATGTATCATTATAAATAATTGTGTACAAAAATATAAAAAAACTAATTTTCTATTAATAAAAAGTTTTAAAGAGAGCCAAAAATTAAATTGAAGACTCGATATTATACGATAGATAGCGATTTAATACAGATCGAACAAGTAAACAGCAGAACTCAATGTATGTATTTACATTCGGGTTCAGTACATTTCAATGGATCCTACAC